TTGCCTTGCACGTGACTGGCCCAGGTTCAGTTCTCAGTTTCCCATGTCCCCTGAGCACTGCCAGGAGTAATTCTGAGTGCAGAGCCAGGAGTAACCTCTGTGCATCGCTGGGTGTGACTCCAAAAGAAAAATAAAAAAAGATATTAATTGAAAATTTTTTTTAAAACTGCCTTCTTGAGAGGATTATGCTAAATGATATAAGTCAGACAAAAAAATAACAAATATTGCATGATATTATTTATATGTGGAATTTAAAAGAGTTAACTTGTAGAAACAGGGAGTAGAATGATGGTTACTAGGGGTTACTAGAGAGTAAAATGTGAAGATATTGTTAAAAAAGGACACAAACTTAAGTTAGAAGGTAATTCTATTGCAAATATATATTTGAAATCTTTAATTTAAGTGAAAATCTTTCTAAAGTTGATTCTGTTTGATGAAGCTTATCTGCTCTATGAATACTGTTAGTCTTGTTATTCATTTGTTGCATATCAGTGCAATTGATACTTCTCAAAGCATTGATTTGTAAGATAGATTTTTATAAATGAATGGTGAACTTTATAATAATCACATAAGCACAGTCTTACTAGAAGACCACCCTTGGCATAGTTAGTGTCACATTTTCTTTGGTGTAGGAGGGAAAACCTTGACATGCTGAAAGAAATTCTGATTTTATTCTTTTGTGAGATTTCTCTCCTATCATACTGATAAATCTTCATCTTCAGGATTTTTGCTCAGAAGGCAGTTTACATATATAAATATGCTCTGTGTGTCAGTTTTCTTTAGATGTTTAACAAGGTTGTACACACTAATTATTTATGTGGTGCCAGGGATTGAACCCGGGTTGACTGCATACTAGGCAAGCACCTTAACCCTATAGTGTCTCTCTGATGTCCTGCCATACTCTTTATCCTGTAACATATTCTACATGTATTTGAAAAAAAAAGTATATTCTGTGGCGTTTTTTAAAGTGAAAGTTAGGTATAATTAGTGGATAATATTGTTTCCTTCATCCTTATTGAAGTATAATCGACAAGCAATATTGTAAGCTATTTAGAGTATGCAGAGTGGTGATTTGACAAATGCATATATACGAAGTACTTTTTTTTTTTACTAATGAAAAATTATTTTATCCCTCCCCCAACACATACCAGTGAATAGTATCCAGAATGATCATTAATTAAAAACCTGTATTTTTAAAGTTAGTGAAAGCATCGTCCTAAGGAGTATTATTTTTTTTTAAATTTTATTAGTAAAACACCATGAAGTACAGTTGTAGACTTATAAATTTTTGTGCTTGGGTTTCAGTTATACAATGATCAAATACCCATCCCTCCATCAGTGCCCATTCTCCACCACCACTGATCCCAGTATCCCTCCCACCCCCTCATTCCCCCACATCACACCATGCTTCTGTGGCAGGACCTTCCCTTTTGTTCTCTCTCTCCTTTTAGGTGCTGTGGTTTGCAAAAGAGGCATTGAGTGGCAATCATGTTCGGTCTATAGTCTACTTTCAGCACGCATCTCCCATCCTGGGAGGATCCTCCCAACACCCTTTACTTGGTGCTTTTTCCTATTTAGCTAATTAATTCATGTCATCACAAACATTATTTTTGTGTGTGTAAAAATGTTTAAGTTTTACTCATGTCATTAAAAATATTCCACAGATTTCACTTGGAGAATAGTTATTAATTAATTACATTATGCATTAGATCCTCTGATATTATTCATCTTATAACTGAAAATTTATACTCTTTAACTAACCTTTCCCTGTTTTCTCTTTCCCAAGATGCTAGCGTATGCTTTTCTGTAATCTGTTGCTATGAGTTTGATTTTTTTTTTGATTTTTGGGTAACACCCGACGATGCACACATGACAACGAATGGCTCATGCATTCAGGAATTACTCCTGGCGGTGCCTGGGGGACCATATGGGATGCTGGGAATGAAACCTGGGTCAGTTGCATGCTGGACAAATGCCCTGTCCGCTGTGCTATTGCTCTAGCCCCTGAGTTTTTATTTAGGTTCTACATAAAAGTGGTATCATGCAGGATTTGTCTTTGTCTCAACTATTGTACTACTATTATTATATTATTTTTATTATATACACTTGGGCACAGCAGGTAGGGCATTTGCCTTGCATGCGGCCAATGCAGGTTCGATTCCTCTGTCCCCCTCAGAGAGCCCAGCCAGCTACCGAGAGTATACTGCCTGCATGGCAGAGCCTGGCAGGCTCCCCATGGCGTATTCGATATGCCAAACACAGTAACAGCAAGTCTCACAATGGTGACTTACTGGTGCAAATTGATGAACAATGGGAGGACAGTGCTACAGTGCTACACTTGGTGTATATAATGCCCGCAAGGTAGTGTTGGCCCAAACAGCTGAATAATACTAAAGTCTTCTATATGCTTACATTTGAAGACTTCCCTTAGTCCTACCAATTATTGCGAATGGGTTATTATATCTACAACTTATGGTGAATGTTTTTTTTGTTTTAATTGCTTCTAGTCAGATTATATATATATGAATAAATATACGTATATCATACACACATACGTGTAGATATATGGAGGTCAGAGAAATAGAAATAGTACAGTGGTTAAGGGTGTACATATTTTGGGTGTCTCTTGTGAATATATTTTTATTTATGGCATAGTCCCTGTATAGTGACTCTATTATCATTATGGAATTCTTTCTTATTCTCTAGTAATTTTTTCAAATTAAAGTTTGTTTCAGCTCAAATTTTAAATTTAAATAAACAACTTAAATTTTCTGGTAGGTCCTTGCACAATTTGTGTCTTTAAATATTTTTACTGGAGCCACAGAGGTAGTACAGGGGTTAAGGTGATTGCCTTGCATGCTGCCAACTCTGATTTTTTTTTTCTTTTTTGGGTCACACCTAGCAATGCTGAGGGGTTAGGCTTTGCACTCAGGAATTACTCCTGGCAGTGCTTGAGGGACCATATGGGATGCTGAGGATCGAACCTGGGTTGGCTGCGTGCAAGGCAAACGCCCTACTGGCTGTACTCTGCCAACTCTGATTTGATTCCCACCATTGCATATTGTCTCCGTCGCATCACCAGGAGTGACCCTTGAATCCAGAGACAGCAGTATTCCTCTGAGAATTAATATTTTGTCCTCAGAGTCAAAGAATTATTTTATTGTGTTTTGTAATTTTATTTGTATTGTCTATATTCCACATGAGAGCAAAACCAACTGGTGTTTTACTTTCTCTTTCTATTTACTTGGCTTTGCATAATTACCTCAAGATCTAGTCATAATACTACAAGTGGAAGTATTTCTCTTCTCTATCCAAGTAATATTCCAGTGATTGCGTATGCCACATCGTCTTTATCCAATCTTTTGTCAGTGGGCACTTAGGTTGTTTGCGTGTTTTGACTATTGGGAATAATGCCACAATGACTACAGGAGTGCTATGTGTTTTTTCAAGCTGCTGTTCCATATTCTTCAGATAAATACTGAGGTGTGGGATTGAGGGATTGTATGAAGTTATAGTTTTTATTGTTTGGTGACTCCCCATACCATCTTCCATAAGAACTATACCAACTTACATTCCCACTAATATAGTTTGAGAATTCTTTTCTACATATCTGTGCCAACACTTGTTTCTAGTCTTTCAGTGTTCCTATTGTTTTCAAGTTTTCCCAGTTTTGTCTCCCTCTGTGATTTCTTGTGTTTTCCTCCAGGAATGTGTGGCTAGTTTGAGGACTCTCTAAATTTGGCTACACATGAATGGAGCTTCTATTCAGCCCGGAATACATGGAAGAGCTTATCTAAGCACGTGTGGCTATTTCTCTAGCAAGATATTGCTGTTAAGTTACTTTATCTGACATTCTGCTTGTTTCTTGCTCCTGTTTGAAACTGCAATGCTCATTTGGATGGATACCTTCAGAATCTTCCCTTTGGCTTCTAGGTATGGGTTTTCAGTGCCTCCCTCAGAATCAGCTCAGCACCCTCTTTCAATGTAGCTTCTTGCCCTCATGATCCTTCCTCCTGGAGCACTGATGAAACTGCTGAGGAAGAAGAATCTTGGGAAAGTCCCATGAAACAGCGCACGTTCCTGGCACTGTTCCAGAGTCCACTGGATTTTCATGAACAAATACTTCTTGGTTTATTGTTGATCTTTGGTAAATTTCTTGTCATTAGAGATGATTGCTTTTTTAAAAGGAGTTTTTAAAACTTTATTTAAACACTGTGGTTTACAAAATTTCTCATAATAGAGTCATTTTAGGCACTCAGTGTTCCACATCTATCCCCTCAACCCTGCCCCCTTCGCAGGCACAGAATAATTTATTTTATGTTGCTTGTTACAAAATAGTAAGTGGTACTATAAAAAAATAGTCCGGTAAAAGAGAGTTTGTGAAAATTGTAATATCTACAGTGGAGGTCATTAAAGCCATTGCCTGAGGATTTACTAAGCTGTTTGTTACTAGTTGAGTGTTCTGTGTTATTATTTTTGCTAACTGAGCTTAGTTGGCTTCTGTGCTATGTTCCCATCTAATTTTCTGGGCTGCTTCTGGTTTATCACTATTACGGAGTTTGGAGTGTTGTGCAGCCACATATGCAGCCGGGCACTCCAGGAGCTCCAGGATCTGTGGAATGTTGATGATTATTGGCCTGTCCCCTCTTGAGGGGGCCCCAGAGTTGTCAGCCCAAAGACTGCTGTACCCATGAGTCTCATCAACTTGGCTGGCTTGGCATCTCAAGATGATTGCTTTTGATGTTTTTTTATTTTCCCTAGCTACCTACTTGCTTTCAGAGAGAGTCTTTGCCAAGATCCTTATGCCATTGTGTTCCAAGCATCTTTTGCTTCCTTTTGGTGTTTAAAAGTGTTTAAGTGCTTTTTTTCTTGCAATGGCAAAATGTATTTAAATCAGATCAGTTTAAAATTTATCTAAAATTTATCTTCTAAAATATTACAATCCATTTCGTCTAATGAAGATTATAATTAAATAGATTTTTAACCTTTTATTGTTGCAGATTTCAAGTTCCACCTATAAAGACAGAAATGAGGAATACAAAAGACAGTTCACGCATCTACCTGATACAGAGAAATTGATAGCAGGTAAAAAAGACAGAAAGACATGTAGTGGCAAATAAAATGTTCTATTATATTATTATTAAATGAGTGAGAGTATTCATAGAACGCTTAAGCCTTTGTGCTAGACAGAAAAATTGTTCAATACAAGCAGTTTCTTAGCACTTATAATTAGATAAAGACTGAATTGTAATTTGAAGGGGAAGATTCATTTCTGACTTGTATTAAATATTGCTTAAGAAATGGACCTAGGGCCAGAGAGATTGTTACAGTGGGTAAGATACTTATGTTGCATGTGGCTGACCCTGGTTCAAATCCCTGGCAACACATATGGTTCCCTGGGCACTATCAGGAGTGATTCCTAATCACAGAGCCATGACTAAGCCCTGAGTCCGGCAGGATATGACCACAACACAAAAGTAAAAACAAAAGTGGGGGAGAGAGAGTATAGGAAAGAGGAGTGAAAGGAATGACAGGTTAGTCATCATTTATTCAAGCACTTGTTTCATACGGTTTTATAGAAAAAACTTAAATTTGATATTCAATATGTATTATCTTTTTCCAGAAAAAGAAAACATCTAACAGAATATGGTGAAATTTTGTTTTATAGCATTTTTTCAAGCTATATCATTATTTATGTCATCTTTCAGATAGATATTTCTGAAATAGATTTCAGTGGGAAAACTGTAGTTATTTTTCTTATACAGGTGCTTCATTTTATATAATTTAACACGTATTATTTGGAATAAAAACAGATAAACTAGATTTTAGTTTAGTTTACATTTATATATATATACTCCCAGTTCTTCTTTTGTCCTTTTTCCTTATTTTGTGTTTTGGCTACACCAGGTGTAGCCAGGCCATACCTGGCTCTGTGCTCAGTGGACACTCCTGGAGATGCTTCTGAAACCATAGGATTGACAAGGATTGAACCAGGGTTGGCTGCGTGCAAGGCAAGCACCTTAACTCTTGTACTACCTCTCTTGCCCCCCAAATTATTTTTTTCTTTTTATTTAATGTAGGAAAAAAAAAGTGGCATCTGTTAATAAAAATCTAGGATTAAAATTGGTGCAGGGACCTGGAGCAATAGTATAGTGGGTAGGGTATTTGCCTTGCACAGGACTGACCCGGGTTCAATTTCCAACCTCCCATATGATCTCCCAGTTACAATATGCGAGTTATTTCTGAGTGCAGAGGCAGGAGTTAACTCCTGAGAAAACCAAGCAGAAAACCAAAAATAAAACCCCAAAACTACAATTGATGCAATAATAGAGGTGCAATATTAATATCAAGAGACCTAGAAAATAAGTTTATGTGACCATTGATATATCATTGTTTTGGAGGGTTGGTAAGTCCTTGAATTTATTAAGCTTTCATTGCTTCAGGTGTCACGCAGCCACATATGCGGCATATAAGCAGTCCAGACATTTCCAGATCTATTGTCTGGGACAAAGAGTTGGCAGGGTGGTGGGTGGCACTGCTGGGGCTTCTGGAAGTATGGGGAATCGGGGAGAGCTTACCCACCCCAACTCCAGAAAAACCCCAGACATCTCAGTGTGGGTACTGGCACCTGAAATTATTCGAAGATTGGTGTCTCTGTAGAGAATATTCATGAGGCGGTAGAGTTGAGCCCTTGGCATATCTGTAGTGGGTGCGTGGGTGCTGTTGCTGCAGCGTTTGTTTGGTGGGTGTTTGACCGCCTGCCTCCCGTGGGTGCTCTGGAGTTTTCATCAGTGGAGGTTGGCATGTCCATAGGGTTCCAGCCGATTGGCATGAATCTCCTGGGAGATTTAGTGTGGATATGGTGGGGCAGGGCATGGCAGGAGATGTGGATAGTGAGCAGGACTACTCTACTAAAAATAACATATTATTAAAATATTTAATTTTAAAACATTAAATATTTTAACATTTAAATACCTAAACATTGAATAATCTAATATTTAAACAATCAAATTAAAGTTGAAGTAACATAATGTTTAAATATTTGTTAATTTAAATAATGGACTTTTTTTTTTATAATTTTATTTATTGAATCACCGTGAGAGCAGTTACAAAGCTTTCGGTCTAAGTCTCGGTCATACAATGAAACACCCATACCTTCACCAGTGCCCATTCTCCACTACCAAAAACCCCAGTATACCCCCATCCCACACCCTCCCCCTACCTGTGGGGCAGATGATTTCCATATTACTCTCTCTCTACTTTTATCACATTCAATATTTTGACACCAAACCCACTATTATTATTTGAGATTTTACCCCAACACTCAGATCTGCTGAAAAGGCAACAGTAGACAATTTGTGTTCTATTTCTGGTTATGAGTAACATGATGTCGCGTGGCTGCAGTAGGGCCACGTGATTTTGAAATTCCGAAATTTTTTTTTTAAACACCATGAGGTACAGTTGTAGATTTAAATTTTTTGTGCTTGGGTTTAGATTATACAATGATCAAATACCCATCCCTCCACCAGTGCCCACTCCCCACCACCATGGATAATATCCCTCCCACCCCCATCCCTCCCATCCCACCCTGCCTCTGTGGCAGGGCGATCCCTTGTGTTCTCTCTCTCTTTTTGGGTGTTGTGGTCCGCAAAAGAGGCTTTGAGTGGCAAACATGTTCAGTCCATAGTCTACTTTCAACATGCATCTCCCCTCCTGGGAGGATCCTCCAAACACCCTTTATTTGGTGCTCCCTTCTCTATCTGAGCTGCCCTTTCCCTTAGAATGCCCGGCTGGCCTCTAAGCCATGGAGTAATCCTCCTGGTGCTGATCTCAGCTATTCTTGGGTATTAATCTTATATTTTGTAAATAACGGACTTTTAATTAAAAAATATTTGAGGGGTCAGGGAGATAGCTCAAATTATTGGAGTGCATCCTTTGTATGTGGGAACCGTGGGCTTCACCCCCCATACCAATATCAAGTACCACTGGGAACAGCCCCCAAGTGCTAAGCCAGGAGTAGTTCCTGAGTACTTACAGGTATGCTTCAAAAGCCAAAAAATGATAATAATAAAAATATTTAAAATTAGTACATTCTCATGATAAACACCTGGGTTGTTTCCATAAGCCATACTATTGTACCGAGTGCTGCAGTGAGCATATGTGGGCATACATCTGTTTTGAGGGGCGGAGGTGGGCTGAACCCAGCAGTATTCAAGATTTACTCCTGTCTCTGCACTCAGAGATAACTCCTGATGGACCTCGGGGACCATCTGGGGTCCCATGGATAGACTGTGTGCAAGGCGAGCACTCCACCTCCTATACGATTGCTCCGACCCTTAACTAAGTTTTATACCTTAATTTACTTAACAACTCGCCCATTTCTGATATTTTTTGTTGCTCTTTATCTTGGAACAGTAGTACAGCAGGTCTGGCATTTGCCTTGCATGCAGCCAAACTTAATAATGATTAACTTTATAACTTTGTAAATCATAGTCCTCCTGTTGCTCATCGATTTGCTCGAGTGGGCCCAGTAACGTCTCCATTGTGAGACTCCTTGTTACTGTGTTTGGGTAAATCACAGTGATTCAAAAAAAAAAAAAAGACTGAACCAGTGTTAATTTTCATCAACAGTGTGTGTAAGTACCTGTTTAGCCACACCTCAGGACATTTTCTGAGGCAAAATTTGGCAGGTGGGAATGCTAAATAATTGCTTGTATATACAGTTATTTTGTGTAAAATTGAGTGAGATTTTCTCTTTTTTTCTGTGGAGAGCATAACCTGGCATCACCCTGAGAACCATGGCTCCCCCAAAATTGGGTGGTAGAGATCAGTTTCCACATCAGAAATTGTGGTGTACACATATACAATGTAATACTACTCAGCTAGAAGAAAAGACGAAGTATCCTTTGGAGTCACTTCACTCAGCACGATAGAATTTTCTACTTCCAGTCACATAGCAGCAAGATTTCATCTTTTCTTTCTTTTTTGGGGGAGGGGGGCCTTTTGGGGTCACACCCGGCAATGCACAGGCGTTACTCCTGGCTCATGCACTCAGGAATTACTCCTGGCGGTGTTCAGGGGACCATATGAGGTGCTGGGAATCGAACCTGGGTCCGCTATGTGCAAGGCAAATGCCCTACCTGCTGTGCAATCGATCTAGCCCCAATTTATGACAATTTAAAATGAAAATGCAGGAAGAAAAACAAATTGTATCTCTTTTTATTTTTAACCAAGTAAAACGTTTTTCTTCTTTTTAAAAAATTATATTTACCTTTACAGTTAGTTCATGTAAAAGCAAACAATTCTGGAGCCTTGCCTTGGCAGGATAACTTCTTTTTATGTTGCTGTTTTGTTCTCTTTCTTCAGGGCCACACCCAGCTTTGCTCAGGATTTAGTCCTGGCTTTGTGCCAAAGGATCACTCATAGCTGTGCTTTACTGTGTAACAGGGCTAAGGGTGAATCCGAGTTGGTCGCTTGTGAGGCAAGGGCCTAAACCCCTGTACTGTCTCTCTGGCCTGGGTGTGTGTGTGTGTGTGTGTGTGTGTGTGTGTGTGTGTGTGTGTGTGTGTGTGTGTGTGTGATGTTCAGTGCCTCTTCCTAGAAATACTTGGCAGGCAGTTTAATTCTTGAACCTTGATGTTATCTGGGGTTTCCATGGCTACACCTTTGGTACTTGGGGACCATGAAATTATTGCAAGGGATGTGGAGTTATCTTGCTGGCCCAGGTTAACTTTTTTCAAGATCGTATCTTGTCTCTCCAAATATTTTTAAATTTTTTTAAAAAATGAAATCATGAGATTTCATTGCCAAGGGGGTTCCCCTATCTGATTCTTGCCTAGTTTAATTTTACATCCTAGTTTCTCTCATATTTTAAATTTATGGGCCATACTGATGGTGCTTGGGCTGGAGTGATAGCACAGTCATAGGGCATTTGCCTTGTACGTGGCCAGCCTGGCCGAGTCGGGTTCGATTCCTCCACCCCTCTTGGAGAGCCCGGAAAGCTACTGAGAGTATCTCGCCCGCATGGCAAAGCCTGGCAAGCTACCTGTGATTTATTCGATATGCCAAACACAGTAACAACAAGTCTCACAATGGACATGTTACTGGACCCGCTCCAGCAAATCGATGAACAACGGGACGACAGTGACAGTGACAGTGACTGATGGTGCTCAGAGGTTACCCCTGGCTAGGGGTCACTCTGGGAAGGGATCAAGGGATCATATATGGTAGCAGGGTTGAATCCAGGTCAGCCACATGCAAGGTAAGCACCGTACCATTTGTACTATCCTAGCTTCTTAAATTATGAGTTGTTAACCCTGTAGGGTCACATAACTGAATATAGGTGTGGCACACAAAAAAATTCAGCAACTGAAGAAGTTTTATGAGTGCTTAACAATTCATTCAAGGTAAATTGTATAATGAATCTACAACATTTCTGTTTTAAATTTTGGTTTTTGGTCCACATCTAGCAGTGCTCAGGGATTACACCTGGTTCTGCACTCAGGGATCACTCTCGATGGGCTCAGGGGGCCATATGGGATGCTGGGGATTGAACCTGGAACCTCCTTGCTCTACCATCTCTCTAGCTCCAAATGGCCGTGCTCAACTGTTCTGCGTATCTTGAGTTAAACGGGGTTATGAGTGGGAAAAGTTTAAGAAACCCTATTCTAGATTAATCAGATTATTAATGGAATTTATTTTTATCTATTTATTTTTTTTGCTTTTTGGGTCACACCCGGCGATGCTCAGGGGTTACTCCTGGCTCATGCACTCAGGAATTGCTCCTGGCGGTGCTCGGGGGACCATATGGGATGCTGGGAATCGAACCTGTGTCGGCCATGTTGGCTGCGTGCAAGGCAAACGCCCTACCCGCTGTGCTATCGCTCCAGCCCCATTAACGGAATTTAAATCATGTGGAATACTGCCTTCTCAAGGGAAATCAAGTATGATTAGGGAGATAGTCCAGTGGGTCCGGCAGTTGCCTTGCAGGCAGTTGACCTGGGTTGGATCCTCATCACCATACACGGTCCCGTAAGGCCCACGAGGAGTGATCCCTGAGTGCAGAGCCTAAAGGAAGACTAGAGCACAGCTTGGAATAGCCCATCCCGAAAAAGGTAAAATTCCCTGTGATTTTTTGAAATAGTTTCCCATTTCTTGTGTAGGACAGATGGATGAAAAGCCATTTAATCAAAAATCAGTTTTATTGAGTTCTAATTTATTACAATGAAATATCCCCATTGTAGGGAAACTTTAAAAATCACCAACAACACTCTCACTTTACATGAACTTGTCTTCACTCAAAAGAATATAATAGAGGCCAGCGCGCTAGAACAGAGCGATAGACCGGGAGGGGTTTGCTTTGCATGTGGCCGACTTGGGTTCGATTCCCAGCATTCCATATGGTCCCCCAAGCACCATCAGGAGTAATTCCTAAGTGCAGAGCCAGGAGTAACCCCTGAGCATCGCTAGGTGTGACCCAAAAAGAAAAAATATATGTATGGTTGATTACGGTAGCTTGGAATATGCTTAATGTAAAATAATGCAGTGATGGGGCAAGAGAGGTAGTGCATCAAGTAGGGCACTAGCTTTGCACAAGGCCAACCAGGGTTCAATCCCCGGCATCCCATGCAGTCCCCTTGAGCATCTACAAGAGTGATCCCTGAGTGCAGAGCCAGGAGTAACGCCTAAGTATCATTGGGTGTGACTTCCAAACCAAAATAATAATAATAATGATTATTATTATGTAGTGGTTTTCAAAGAGTGACTCACATCCTAGTAATGTTGGCGTCACTGCATTTGTTAGGCATGCAAATTCTTCACCAGGGTCTTCTATGTGGTCTTGCCATTCAGAAACTCGGAGGAATTGCCTTCCCGTCTGTGATTTGTTAATTCAGCCAGGTATTTCTGATAAGAAATTTGAGCAGTGCTGAACTTACAATTGTTTCAGCAGTTTAGATAAAAAATTTCAGGACCTGTAAAGATGACCTTTAATCTAATGCTTGTTTAAAGATGCGTATTAGTAAATGAGTATCTTAAGCTGCTTAATTATTTACAGGATTTTTGTTAGGTAGCACCTGAGTTTTGTTTTGCCTAGGAAAGTGTTGTGAAAGACTGACTGAGTTACTTAGCCCAGCTGTCATATTTGCTTAGAAATTTAACTTGGCCCAATTAAATCTTTCTTAGGTTCATAACCTCACTCATTTCCCCCTACATTTGTCAGTCTCCTTAGATTTAAAATGCATCAGTCAAATTAAAATTCCTTACAGTAGCCCTGCGTAGCTTCTGTTATTGATAATTTAGCAGTACTGTTACCTTAGTCACAGAGCTAGACCTTAATCTGAGAGGCATCATGCTAACTTGCTGCTAGCCATTTACCAGAACACCAGATTTTTCTGTAATTTCATACTAAAGTGCAGATTATCAACTATATTTATTTTAGTGGGATTTGGGAGGCTTTGTACCACACCTGGCGGTGCTCGGGGTTTACTCCTGGCTCTCCACTCAGGGATTAACTCCTGGCAATGCTTAAGGGACCATTTATGCAATGAAGATTGAGCCCAGTTGGCAAACCAAGTGCCTTATCACTAAACTATCTCTCCACTCCCGGAGATGATCAACTTTAAAGTTGACTTAAAATGTGGGGGCTGGAAAGAAAAGATAGTACAGCTGGTAGGGCACTTGCCTTGCGTGCTTCCAACCTGAGTTTGATTCCTGGCATCCCATATGGCCCTAAGCACTACTGGGAGTGTGTATATATATATATATATATATATATATATATATATATACATATATATATATATTTAAAATGGGTACAGGTTTTGGATTCATTATTGTCCCCTCCTTCACTCTTCACAACATCTAATGAATCACCGATTTCCTATCAGTACTACCTTTGAACTATTTCTGTATCTAACAATTTTTTTTCTCTTAATATGGTGATCTCCTGGTCTGAGACACCTTCAATTTTCTTCTGAGTTTACCATCAATTGAACTGCATCCATTCTCAACAGTGTGAATAAAGTGAGTTGAAATAATATACAGGTATCATGGACCTTTCACTTAAAACTCATCAGTAGTTTCTCTAATCTCTTAGAGAAGAGCCTAATGGCTCCTGGGCGAAATACAACAATCTTCACAAACTTTCCTTTAAGAAACTTTTTTTTGGTCTCATTTTTAACAGATTATTCATAACAACCAATACAAAAATTTTTCAGTTCTGCTTGGGGGTAGGGTTTGGGTTTCGGGATGGAAATATGGTGGTGGGAAGGTGTAGTGGTAGTGGGATTGATTACTAAGAGATTAGTAATATGATTTTAAAGTTGAGCCTTCTGTGCATATATCTGTATGTCTGTATAAATGTGTTTCTCCCCAAGATTGTTTGCCTTCCTAATCAAATGTGGTGTGCTACTCTTGGTATATTTCCCTCCCTACTCCTGGTTGCCTAAATAAAACAGCCCAGTGTGGGGTCTGGTGGCATGGCTATGACATATCGTTCTGTGCTCTCTTCTGAGAGATTTATATTGAGTCTCTGGATCATGAATGTTAATAAGATTATATGGTGCCAGTGGCAGCTTGTGAGTCTGACTGCCAAGCTGCTAGAATTAGGAGGAGATAGGGGAAGGTCACCCATTCCCGGTTCCCTTGAGCCTGGAGTTTTCAGTCACAAGTCCTGCAAACCTGGTTTTTCTGTGGATTCACTCATGGAGACCTCAATAGTCTGGCATATATTTTCTTAGATTTATTTTTATGAATCAAGCCTAACATCAAAATCTTTAATTCATTTGGAATGAACTTTTGCTGTGATGTGAATATTGGTTCAGTTTCATTTTTTCCGTAACTAACCAGTTCTCCCATCACTGTTTGTTAAAGAGGCTTTCCTTCCAACACTTTATGCTTTCAGTTCTATTTTATTTTTCAGAGACTCTTTTTATTTCAATACCATATAATTTTATTACTATACAGTTCTACTGAGAGTATCTCGCCAGCATGGCAAAGCCTGGCAAGCTACCTGTGATGTATTCGATATGCCAAACACAGCAACACAATGTAACGTCTCACAATTGAGACGTTACTGGGCCCGCTCCAGCAAATTGATGAACATCGGGAGGACAGTGACAGTGACAGTGACAGTTTCTCCTAAAGTCCACAGTCTACCACTGCTGTGTGATTTAGCTAAAGATCACAGCTTTCTGTGGTCTAGCTGCTCTAGCCCAGAGATCTGCCATCTTCTGTTGTCTGTTGCCCAAATGTCTAGATTTGTTTCTCCCACAGGACCATGGCAATGCTGGTCCAGCTGAACCTCAGTTGATCTTTAGGTAGCTGTAATTTTTTTCTTTCCTTTTTTTTTGCTTTTTTGGGTCACACCTGGTGATGCATAGGGGTTACTCCTGGCTCTGCACTCAGGAATTACCCCTAGCAGTGCTCAGGGGACCATATGGGATGCTGGGATTGAACCTGGGTCAGCTGCGTGCAAGGCAAACACCCTACCCACTGTGCTATCATTCCAGCCCCGGTAGCTGTAATTTCTCTGAAAAAATTTTCCTGATATTTTCCCCCACCCTTGCCCCCCATAATACCTGGATACTCCTTGTTATGTGCTCTCAGGCTGACAATGCATTTTGGTCATTACACACATTTTTGTATTTATTGTATGCCTCTCTCTCTAGAGTGTATTTTGTAAGGGCCAGGCCTATTTCTGTTCATATTTGTGCCTAGAAAAATATCTGGTGTGAGGTGCCCAAAGTGAATGAAGGTGTGAATGAATGGACAAATGAACAGTAACAATTTCTATTTTAGAGTAGTCTAAGATATATTAAGTTGCCAGATTTTATGAATAAGCTGTGTCTTCTTATTGTGTTAGATTACGCTTGTGCTCTTCAGAGGGACATTTTGCTTCAGGGACGACTCTACCTTTCAGAAAACTGGCTGTGTTTCTATAGCAACATCTTCAGATGGGAAACTACGGTGAGACATATTTTCATTTCATTTGTTCATAACCCATAATGAGAAAGGTAGAACTGTGCACTTCCCTCTTAAGAACAACGAACTTTAGATCCCATTGTTAAATTGACATGTATTTGTGTATCTATATTTGTGTTTAAATAAATATATTTATGTTTTATGTATTTACACTTTGGGCAAGTGTATTTTTCTTCCTTTTTTAAAAGATAAAAGTTGTTTATTGGTGATATGTACACCCTCCTGCTTGCATGGAAGATATCTAGCAGAGTTAAGAAAATTGCCCCCATGATTTTAGCCATTAGCTTAAAGACCTTTGCAAAGGGTCCAGAGTAAAGTACAAAGGGTAAGGCTCATGCCTTGCATGTTGCTGACTCTGGTTTGATCACTAGGCACCGAGCACCGCTTGGCGACCTAGATAATACTGGGCTGTGTCTCACAGGGAACCATGAGTAGCATTGACTTCGAGTCACCAGGAGGGCCCCTGGGCCTCCTGAGCACTGTTTGGGAGACCCTCCCCACCCCACACCCCCAAAATAGCCAAGTCCCATTTTGGAGACAAAAAGGAATATATTTTTACCTTTAATACACTGAATTCTATTTATACGCTTATTCAGTACGGTTGGAGAAAGATTTCTGGTTGGAGAAAAGTTTGAATACATCCCCTGGCTGTTGGAGGCATGTCTTATTGACAGACTGAATTTTGTTTGTGTATGTGTGTTCATGTGGAACATGGAAACCTTACATCTTTTCACATGTCAGCCTAATGTTAGCTCCAGGTCCTGATGGGAACTACCAAATATATTCCAAAATGAAGAGTGTCTGACTGCTCACCTTTTTTCTCGGAGAAAGCAGCCCTGTGCTTATTAATTCTTCGAGGTTTTAGAACTGGGTATTCTCAATTGTATCGCTATAATGCTTGGTATTTTCTACTGTGAATATTTATAAGAAATCCATCTTGCAATTTTTTTAATTCTTTTGTGTTTAGATTTCCATTGCTTTAAAGAATATAACCTTCATGACCAAGGAGAAAACAGCTCGACTCATCCCAAATGCTATTCAGGTTGTTACAGAAGGTGAAAAGGTGAACATTTTTTTTCTGCCTTTGCCTAATTACATAACATAGAGAAAATCTGCCTCATCCTGATTATCACTGCTGGAAATATAGGCACTCCGCTTAGAGTTAAGAGTATCTAATAAAAACACATATTTATTCAATATTTCTCTATTCTTAAGTACTTAAGAACAGTTATTGATGATTAACTGTTCAAATTTTTGGTACATTTTCGAGAACTTCATTCCCCCATCCCAAACTGTTTTTCATTTTTTTCACTATAAATGTTAGGCATGGTAGCACTGTAGCACTGTCCTCCTGTTGTTCATCAGTTTGCTCAAGCAGGCCCAGTAACTTCTCCATTGTGAGGTATGGTAAGCATTAGAAAAACATTTCTATTATTTCTAATAATCCCATGATAGTTCTTTAGTGAATAACACACAATTGCTTGCCTATACAATTGTACAATAAGAACAAATTATCCTGGTGAACAGAGAATGGAGGTAGTGTACAAATAAATGGAATTATTATATTTTTTAAAGAATGGCTGTTATATTCAACTGCCATAATTTTTATTAACCACTTATAATATTTGCCACTACATAGAGGTATAAGAAAAGCCTTCTAGATCACCTGGAAAGTTGATTAGGGCTCTATAAATGTCATTAGAAGTAATGCTGAAGATGAAAAAATTAAAAAACGAGTATGTGAGGGAATGAAGGAGAGGAAGAGGGTGAAAAAAAGGAACAGTAAGAAAAGGAGAGAACTAAGGATAAGAAATACTCTTATGGCATTGAATCATCTGTCGTATTGATGCTTTTTAAACTTAAGCATTTTCTTTAAACGTACTTCAAGTTTTATTTTTAAACAGTCTCCTTCCTAACATACACTTCCAAAAGCATCTCATAGAGCTTTTTCTCTCCGAACTATTTGGGAGTGGGTACCACTGAAGTCCCATATATTACCTGAGATCCCTACACATTAACCCAGAAAACTCTTATTTCCAACAAAGACATATTCCTATATGACCACAACACGACCATCAAAATAAGGATGTTAACACTTACTATTACCCTGTTCAATACTCAGCCTCCTTTCAGTTTTCCATAAAATAGTCCCCCAATAATATTCTATATTGCACATAGACCTAGTTCAGAAATATATATCACATTTAGTTGTCAGATTCTCTGTAATTTCCTTATTTTGGAACAGTACAATGGAAAATCTTTCATTGACTTTTTATGTCCTTCAGATTTTTAAAGATTGCAAGCTAGTTATTTTGTAGGCCATCCCTCATTTGTGTTTATCTGATATTTCCTTGTGATTAAGTGCAGTTATGCAATTTGGGCAGAAATAACCTGGACGTGGTGCCCTGGTTTTTCCATCGCATACTATCAGGTGGCACTTGATTTCTAACATTTCTGCTGATTCTCACTTTGGTCACTTGATTAAAGGTGGTGTCAGCCAAACTTTACTGTAAAGTTAGCTCTTTCTTTTGTAAAAAAAAAAATGTTGTGGAAAGCTTCAGTGAAACTACGTAAATATTCAACTCCTCATTAAACGTTAAGATTTTTATTTACTCACATCAGTGCGAGCTCATAAATCTTTCTTGATTTACTGAGTCGTAATTCATTGCTCTCATTGGTTTTGTTTTTCTTTTGTTTGTTGGGACACACCTAGCAGTGTTCGGGGTTTACTCCGAGCTCTGTGCTCAGGGATTGCTCTTGGCCAAGCTTGGGTGGGCCGTGTCATATGGAAAGCTGGGGATGGGACCAGGTTGGGTGTGTGCAAGGCAGTCGCCCTACCCACTTTCCCCTCTCTTCAGTCCTGCTAATCATTGTTCTGATGCCAAAGTTATTTCCAGTTTGGCTAGTGGTCACCTGTTCCATCTAGTTTTCATTCTTTGAAGCTCTCTGAACCTTGACTGAACTCACTTTTTTGGCATAGGCGTTCCTTGCCTCAATTAGCCATTTTTCTCAAGGCCACTTCTTTCTCTCTTTCATGGAACAGAAATTGCGAAGCCAGTGTGTGCTATGGGGCTGTCCTTGTTCCTGAGCCCTCTGCGTGGACAGAAAAAGGGTCTATTTGATGTCCACATGATAATAATCCTATGTATGGATATATAAGACACATACCCCCTTACATATCTGTGTTTATCTTTCAAGCATAAAACACAACTTCCATGCCAGTATCTCTGATCCCATCTTTACAGCATTTGTTTTTGTTTTTTTTTTCTTTTTATATTTGTAACATCCTTCCCTGATCACAAGAAATGAGGCTCCCGTTATCCTCCCAATACTGGCTTACTTGGTTCCTTGGCCTGTCTGTAACCACTCTTCTTTTCTGCTGCCCCATTCCTATAGAAATGCCCTTTTATCGAACTCAGTTTCTTTTTTGTTTTGTTTTGTTTTGGGTTTTGGGGGGCTATGTTTATTTATTTATTTACTCAGGGGTTACTCTGATTCTGCACCTAGAAGTTATTCCTGGTGGTACTCCGAGGACCATATGGAATGTCTGGAATTGAATTTTGGTCAGCTCCGTGCTAGCCAAGTGCCCTGCCTGCTGTATAGGCCATTGTTCACTGTGCCATAATGGATCAGGGCTTCTTAAACTTTTCCCATTTGCCACCATTTTGGCCCAGAAAACTTTGGCAGGGGAGTTAGGTGGCACACAACCAGCTGTGCTCCAGGTATCAGATGTGGGTGCTGGGAATAGGGCCTGGGCTGGCACATACAAGGCGAGCACCTAATCCCTTTACAATATCCTCAAGACACTTTCATATGATCCTGGTATGTAGTTCTATAAAATAGGCAAACAAGTGAAACTTTAAAATTTTTTTTAATTTTAATTTTTTATTGAATCACTGTGAGATAGGTCCTTACAAAGCTGTTTATGATTAGGTTTCAGCCACACAGTATTCCAACACCCATCCCTCCACCAGTGTACGTTTCCTAGTACCAGTGTCCCCAGGTTACTTCCTATCACCCCTACCCCACACCCTCCATCTGCCTCTATGGCAAGCTCTGTCTCTCTGTCTCTGTCTCTGTCTCTGTCTCTGTCTCTCTCTCTCTCTCTCTCTCTCTCTGTGTCTCCCTCCCTCTCCCTCTTTTTCTCCCTCTCCCTCCCCTTTTAGGCAATGTGGTTTGCAATATTGATACTGAACGGTTATCAAGGATATCCCTTTACCTACTATTAACACTCAATTCTTCTCCAGCATGACCATTCCCAGTTATTATTGTCATACGGGTCTCTTCTCTATCTTACCTACCCTCCGCCCCACACACACTTGTGGCGGTGATTAAGATGTATGGGATGAATTCACGAGGAACAAGTGAAACTTTCATTATCATGATTCACAAAGGAATCTATGGGGCCAGAGTGATAGTATAGTGAGTAGGGCTCTTGCCTTAGACACAGCCGACCCTGGTTGGGTCCAGGCAGCCCATACAGTTTCCGGAGCACCAGCAGGAGTAATTATTACTGAGTGCAGAGCCAGGAGTAATTGAATATCGCTAGGGGTGGCCCCCAAACAAAAACAAAACCAAACCGGAAACCTCTTTTATGGAACTCCAAAATTCAATCACACTGTTGCCATGTTGGGCTGTGATCCCCACTTGGAGAGGTCATCATGGACAAGCCACATCAGCACGGACAAGCCGCGCTCTGCTGGGCCAAGAGCCCAGCCAGGCACCTTTCCGGCGTTCCTTTTCCCCGTGCCTGCTCCCTGGCTCTGCGCTGCCCTTTCTCTGCTGCCTGTCATGTGTAGCTGCCCGCCTCACCCTGATATGCTCAACTTCTTAGCATCAGTCCACTCTCAAGGACCTTGTCACACAGTGTTGCTCACCGGCTCTGACACAGATCTGAGTGGGCTCCCGTTGGGCGTGGTCACTCTTTCCCATGCTGTTCCAGAATGAACTCTGATACACATCCAGCCCAGCCCAACCTGCCTGTCTCTCTCCTGACCTATGCCCGTCCTTTTGCTTTTGCGTGAACTTCAGACTACCCCTGGGGCTGGGTTGCTGCCTTCCCACTTGTCCTCTGACGCACTACGCAGGATAACTCCATGGGGACGGATTTCTATCCTTTTCTGCTTCTGACCACTTGAGTTGGGTAAGTGCAGTTTTCTGTGCCCGCCATCCCACCTGCCCTCTGATGTGGATGTTATTTTTGTCTAGTCCATATAGCTCTCGGGAGTAGAAAAAAGAGCTCCAGTCAGCTTATACTGGAGCCAAGAATGTAGTTCAGTAGCAGAGCACTTGTTTTGCATGTATGAGGTCCTGGGTACAGGTCCCTGGAATGGCAAAAGTAAAAACAAGGAAAAACATTATTTATCTCTCCCCACTTAGGAAACTTTACCCTTATTCTGAATTTTACAACAAATACACACATACATTGATTGCTTAACAAATTTATCAACAGTGTTAAAATTAATGTTTTTCTTCCACGCTCTTAGCCCCTAGCCCCTTTTCCTGTTCAGATGTCAACACTTGGGGTCTGGAGCGATAGCACAGGGCGTTTGCCTTGCATGCAGCAGACCTGGGTTCGGTTCCCAGCATCCCATATGGTCCCCCGAGCACCGCTAGGAGTAATTCCTGAGTGCATGAGCCAGGAGTAACCCCTGTGCATCACCGAATGTGACCCCCCAGAAAACACAAACAGATTCAACACTTTTATCAATTTGTTATGCATCTTTTAGACCTTCTTTCTTTGTATTTTCATACACTCATAAATAAATATAGATTTGCTTTGTTTTTCAAAGCAAATCCAGCCTTTCTGTACACTGTTCTTCAGTTCTCCTTCCTTTGTAAAAGAGCTTAGCATTATCTGTTGGACTCATAGATCATAGGACATTTAGATAAAACTATCTCTGTTTATTAAGGTGTTCTGTATTTCCTGGAATGGATTTGCTACAGTATTTTTTAACATTATTTCCTTTCTAATGTTTTATTTTTACAAACAATGCTGCAGTAAATAGTCCAACCATGCTGTCTTGATCTCTTGTATGACTGTTTCTTATATGTGTAATAAGTTTCAGAGCTGAGCACATTAATTTTAATAAATGAGAACAATAGCATAGTTGTTCGAACAAACTTTTTACTCCTTGATGTGCTTTTTCTTCTAATGCTTATAAAAATTTATTGCTTTTTCTATTCCTGTTTTGCTAGGGAGAAATCTAAAGAAAAGTGACTGTAAGTCACAGAAGTAGGTAGTAAATTCAGGAAGTTTAATTATAGACATCTTGGTCTTTGTTCATTCAATGATCTCTTTCCCTGTCATTGAGGAAAAATGTTTGCACTAACAAATTCTTCCCATGTACTTCATGAATAAAGAAAGGTTAAGCTTAGCGCTTTTACTTATTTTAGGTTTCGGAATATCTACAACTCCTGAGCATTATAGGAATATGATTGGCTAGAACTCCTTTCAAATTAAATTTATTATTAGACCAGGGCTGGAGCGATAGCACAGCAAGTAGGATGTTTGCCTTGCATGCAACCGACCTGGTCAACCCGAGTTCGATTCTTCCACCCCTCTCGGAGAGCCTGGCAAGCTACCGAGAGTATCTCGCCTGCACAGCAAAACCTGGCAAACTACCATGATGTATTTGATATGCCAAACACAGTAACAAGTCTCATAATGTTACTGGGCCCCCTCGAACAAATTGATGAACAATGGGAGGACAGTGACAGTGACAGTGATTAGACCAGAGAGCTAGTATAAGGAGTAAGGCACTTAGCTTGCACAAATGCAACCCAGGTTCTATCTTTGGCACCACTTTTGGTCACTTGAACACCACCGGGAGTGATCACTGTGCACAACTGGGTATGACTTCCCCAGACCAAATAAAGTTATTACTGAATCATTATTTATCAACACAGCTTTTGTTGGCTTGGGGACCACATCTGACAGTACTTAGGGCTTACTTCAGACTCTGTACTCAGGGATCTCTTCTGGTGGTGCTCATGGGACCATATATTGCACCAGAGGGTGAGCCTGGGGGAGCCCTGGGCAAGGCAAGTACCCTGTCTGCTGTACTCTCTCTCCAGCCCCCATTCATAGTTTTACTTCTAACCATGATTCACTCATCTCCCTTCATTGTCCCTGATACAGAGAAGATGAGGTCACATGTTGTAGCTGTGCATTCTCCAGGGTCACACAACTGCTTGCAGCAGGGAGCTGAGGTGCTCACTGAGTTGTGCTCCCTTCCTTGAAGGGCTCACTCGGGGGCTTGCTAGAGGTCGCATTGCCTGGCGGTGATGCTTGAACGTCTGCTGAGTTGTGTTTTCCAGGTATTGTCCCCTTTTCTGCGGTACTTAGGCACACTGAATGTGGGGTGACTGCAAATCGCTTGTGGTACATGGTATCACCACCTGCAGAGCTGCCGGGATCACACTTGCATGTGGGGGAACACCAGGGGTTTGAACTGGTGGCACTGCGCCTGCAAGACAGGTGTTCGAAGCCCCTGGAATATTCCTCTGGGCCTTATTAACACTTTTTTGAAGTTGAATATCTAGCAAGGAATAAAGCAGAATGCCAATTTACATAGATTATTCATAAATATGAGAGTATTGGGTTTAGAATACAACAGTGGATACAACAGAGGATAAGATTGATAAGGCATTGAATAAGTGAAAATTGGGACCCGGAGCAATAGTACAGCGAGTAGGGCGCTTGCCTTGCACACAGCTGACCCGAGTTCGATCCCCAGCATCCCGTATGTCCCCTGAGCACACCAGGAGTAAGTCCTGAGTGCAGAGCCAGGAGTAACCCCTGTGCATCGCCAGGTGTGACCCAAAAGAAAAAAGAAAGTGAGAATTAGCAAGCAGTACATAGTGATGGATATGAGATGAACTGGATTTTTCTTCTCCTTGTTTAGAAACACAGGGTTGTAGGATTATTACAATACTAAAGAAACATCTGATTATTTAGGTTGTCAGATTATTATAATACTAAAGGAACATCTGATTATTGTAGTTTCACATTAATTTTCTATCTAAGGTAGAAAAATAGGGGTTAGTAAATAGTGATTATAAGGTTCCATATCATGTCTGATTTTGTATCGAAAATACTCTAGATTCACATTATAGAATGTTTTATGTCATGAAGAATACTATGTAGCAAGTTCTTATTTTTTCATTGAAAAAGGCACTTGAAACTTTCTATGAAAAATACACACTCCAAATATTAAGGTAAAAGGTAAAGGCCCTCCCCTTGATCATCGATTTGCTCGAGCGGGCCCAGTAACGTCTCCATTGGAGACTTTGTTGTTACTGTGTTTGGCATATCGAATACGTCACGGGGACTTTGTTGTTACTGTGTTTGGCATATCGAATACGTCATGGGGAGCTTGCCAGGCTCTGCCGTGCGGGCGAGATACTCTCGGTCCAAATATTATTTTTTAATATTTTATTTAATAAGTTGAATATTGAACTGAGTTTTCTCATTTCTAAAGATAACTGCCCAACCGTGCAATGTTAAAGACCAGGGAATTGTGAGAAATGATAGACTGAAAACTGTATTTCATGCTTCCACTTGCCAGACTTTTTTTTTCACAAAGACCTATTATAAAATATGACTGCATACTCAATTCCTGTTTTGTAAACCACAGCACCCCAAAGGAGAGAGAGAGAACAAAAGGGAGTGCCCTGCCACAGAGGCAGGGTGGGATGGGGGGATGGGGGGTGGGAGGGATACTGGGATTGGTGGGGGTGGAGAATGGGCACTGGTGAGGGATGGGTACTCGATCATTGTATAACTGAAACCCAAGCACAAAAATTTGTAAGTCTATAACTGTACCTCATGGTGTTTCACTAATTTTAAAAAAAAGTAAATTTTAAAAAAAGTAACAAGAAATCAGGCAAAAAAAAATATGCCTGCAAAAAATCAATGGAATGCAAAGGATGAGGTAGACCTGAAAGCAGATAATTACGGTTTGAAGATTTTTTTTTTAAATTTTACAGTGTTCAAAGCAAAGTTTAGTGTTATCCTGGGTATTTAAAATTAACAGACATTATTTCTCTTTATTTTATTTAAAGGGGCATTTGAGACATGATATAATTTAAAATTAACATCCTTAAAATTGATTTTGGGGGCTGGGAATGTAGCTGGGAGTGGAGTGGTAGAATGTTTGCCTCATATATGTAAGGACCTGGGTTCAATCTCTGGCACCAGGGCTGGCTGGAGAGAGAGTAGAGGGGGTAAGGTGCTTGCCTTGTATTCAGCTGACCCTGGTTAGATTCCTGGCACCACATATGGTCCCTTGAGCATTACTTGGGGCCACTCCTGAGCACAGAGCCAGGACTAACCTCTGAGCACTGCTAGGTAAGACTCATCACCGTCTCTAACCAAATAAAATCAAAGCCCTAATACTATTTTAAAAAGAGACTTGGGTGGGGGGTTGCTGGTAAACCTGGCTGCCAGAACTTGCTCCTGGCTTTGGCTCAGGGGTCACTCCTTGCAGGGCTTGGTTGATTATATGTACTGCCCAAGATTAAACCCAGGTCAGTCACATGCCAGTTAAGTGCCCTACCTCTTGTGTTATTTCTCCAACCCCATACGAGATCTACTTTTGAAATCCAGAGGTATTTCCCCCTTTTTCCTTTGTGAATAATTGACTCAGTTAGTCACCAAGTCAAATCTCTTTGCAAAATTTAGAATAAAATAAATTTTTATAGATTATTTAGATTGATTTTTATTGTTTATTGTTAAGATAAAGAATGTGGTTTTCTATTTTAATCTCTTTTCCTGAATAAACATTGATAAAATTGTATTTGCTGTAAGGTAAAATTTGTGAAGACACTTTGTTTGTTCATCTGTCTTTTTCCAGTGTGGCCAGAAGTTAAATAAAATAGCACATAAAGTGAACAGAATTGACCTATTAATCTGTGTTAACGATAGCAAGTACCATTATACTTTGATGACGTAAGTTCCTCTTTTTTCCCATGATACTAATGTTTTCCTCTTACTTTGCTTTGCAGTTTTTCTTTACATCTTTTGGTGCCAGGGACAGAAGTTACCTGAGTATCTTTAGGTTGTGGCAGAATGTGTTATTAGACAAGGTAAGTGTTCAGAGCATAGGGATGTGCTGATTATAAAAGCAAACTTCCCTTGTATGCATAAATAGTGTTTGTGAATTGGAACCCCCTTTTATTTATTTTATTTATCTGGGGGAGGGGATTGGCTCTATCTTGTCTCCTTGCTCAGAAATCACTCCTGAAAGGGACCGTTTGTAGCTCCAGGGAATCCCATGTCAGCCAATGCCTTACCTGAAGTGCTATCTCTTCAGCCTCAAGTCTCTTTTTATTTTTATGGACTTAATTTGGACTAGGTTAGTTATGTTCCATGAAGAAACTTGAACCAAAACAAAACCCACAGTTGCAAGTTAAAATGTTTATTGGGATCCCAGGATAGCCACCAAGAAATAAGTTAAAATTTAGTAAATAAAGAGGGGAAGGAAAAAAAGAAAATGGAAAAGCATACAGGAAAGAAAAATCAAGGATTAAAATAATACAATAGAAAATAATACACAGGAAGGCAGTAAGGAAGGAATGTGGGTCACAAAGACATAAAACAGAGGAAGCAAATGGCAAAATGATAGATATTGTACCTAGATAAACATAAATTGATGAAACAGAAGAGATCAACAAGGAAATAAAAGATGTATACGAAACTATAGGCTAGGGGCTGGAGCGATAGTACAGCAGGTAGGGCGCTTGCCTTGCATGCGACCAACCAGGGTTCGATTCCCAGCATCCCATATGATCCTCCATGCACCGCCAGGAGTGATTCCTGAGTGTAAAGCCAGGAGTAACCTATGAGCATTGTCGGGTGTGACAAAAAAAGCCAAAACAAATATACCCCCCCCCCCCCCCGAAACTATAGGCTAATTGGAACTTAAAGAATTCCGTGAGATTCTTTACTCAAAATAGCCAACTCTACATTCTTCTCGAGTGCACATGGAACTGTCTCTAGAGCAGACCATCTACTATGCCATCAAGTGAGTCTTAATAAATCCCAAGGGATTAAAATAATAGAAAACTATGTTCTCGGACCATGATGGCATGAATTTAAGTTTCAAAAGCAAAAGGAAATCTGGGTAATTAATAAAAACAGGAAACTAAACACAATGGTCCTAGGGAACACAGGAATACTGGGTAGAAGGAAAAATCATAAGGAAAATAACAAAGCAATGTGAGGTTTGGCCAGAGAGAGAGTACAGTAGGTAGGGTGCTTCCCTTGCACATGGCCTACATGGTTTTGATCCCTAGCATCTCATATGATCTTTAAGCACTGACTGCAGAGCCAATAGTAACCCCCAAACAAACAAATAAAAAACCAAATGAACAAACATAAAGGTTGAGTTTGAGAGGCTGGAGATTACAATGGAGAAGGTACTGCTTGCACACAGTTGACCTGGGTTCTATCCCTGGCGCCATATATGTTCTCCTGTGCTCCACCAAGAATGATCCCTAAACAGTGAACCGGGGGTAACCCTGAGCACAGTCAGGTGTGGCCTGAAACACAATGAGGAAGGAAGGGAGGGAGGAAGGGAGGAAGGGAGGAAGGGAGGAAGGAAGGAAGGAAGGAAGGAAAGAAGGAAGGAAGGACAATTTCCAACTGTATATGTGAAGCCATTATATACATATATACATATATCACTGTAGCACTGTTTTCCCTGTTCATCGATCTGCTCGAGCGGGCACCAGTAACGTCTCCATTGTGAGACTTGTTGTTACTGTTTTTAGCATATCGAATATGCCATGAGGAGCTTGCCAGGCTCTGCCAAGCAAGCAGGATACTCTCGATAGCTTGCCAGGCTCTCTGAGAGGGGTGGAGGAATCGAACCAGGGTCGGCCGCATGCAAGGCAAACACCCTACCCGCTGTGGTATCGCTCCAACCCATATATATATATGGGTTGGAGCGATACCACAGCGGGTATACATATATATATATATATATATATATCGTTTTAATTTTTTTTGAGAGTTGTTGGGGGACCGTGCTCAGGGCTTACTCCTGGCTCTTTGCTCACGGACCATTCCTGGTGGTGCTCAGGATCAAACTGGGGTTAGCTGTGTGTAAGGCAAGTGCCTTAAAGCCTGTGCTATTTCTCTGGTTTCAGGTCAATACTATTTTGATATCACATTTACACAGAGAATGTCATAGCAAAGGAAAATTACAGATAAATATGTCTGTGTTCATCATATCTATAAATATAGACCCCCAAACCCTCAATAAAATATTAGCAAACTTAGCACTGGGGCTGTAGCAATAACACAGCAGGTAAGGCGTTTGCCTTGCATACAGCCGACCCAGGTTCGATTCCCAGCATCCCATATGGTCCCCCAAGCACTGCCAGGAGTAATTCCTAAGTGCATGAACCAGGAGTAACCCTTGTGCATCACTGGGTGTGACCCAAAAAGAAAAAAAAACACCTTAGCATCACAAAAAGTAATCCTGACCAATATATGAAAATCAGTGGCGGGGTTGGAGTGATGGTACAGTGGATAGGGCACTTGCCATACATGCGACCAACTGGGTTTGGTCCCTGGCACCCCATAGGATCCCCTGAGCCCATCAGGAGTGATTCTTGAGTGTAGAGTTAGGAGTAATCCCTAAACAATACTGAATGTGGCCGAAAAACAGAACAAGGAATCAGTGAAACAGGTTAGATCAGTGGAATAAGAATTTCCTATTTTATGACACACTTACATGAAATTTAAATTTTAGCATTCATTAATAATAAAATTTCATCTCACCCACCATGCTATTTTGTTAATGTCTGTGGTGCTTTCATGCTAAAAGCAGAGTTGAGTAGTTTTCAGCAGAGACCAAGAAGCCACAAATAAGTCCAAAATATTTTAACGTTTGACCATTTTTTTATAAAAGCACTTATTACAGAAACATTATTTATACTACTAGATAGGTCCCAGGAGTCTGTGGCTTTTGCAGAAATTATTTTTTGTTTTGTTCTTCATTTTTGCCACCTTGGGAGCTGTTCAGGGGCTCTTTTGGACTTGAAGTTTGGGGTGGTCCTGGTGTGGCTCGGGGGACCATATGATGTGGGGGGTCAAACATGGACCCCCATCCTGCAAAGCATGCTTTCAGCCCTCTGAAGCATCTTCTGTCTTGTTTTGTTTGGAGTCCACAGCAGCTGTGCTCAGAGCTTACTCCTGACTCTGTATTCAGGGATGACTGGGTACTGGGCTCAAGGCTGGGTACTCGGAAGGGCATACGTAGTACCAGGGATCCACGCGGGGTCAGCTGAGTGCCAGGAAAGCACTTTACTGATGTGCTATTTCTCTGGCTTCAGAAATAGTTTTTGATGTCGGAACAGCAAGGTAGGGTGGGGAATATAGCTCACTGGCAAAACACATGCTTCACTTGTGTGAGACCCTGGGTTTGATTCCTGGTACCACGTAGCAAAATAAAGCAAATCTAATCTGACCATCAAATTGCTATATTTGTTCATTTGACTAATGCTAGCTTCCTACTTAATACCCACCGCCCTTCGAATAAAGAAAAAGAAAGTTATAGGGACCACATTGTCAATCCACTAATCTATTATCACTTCAGTATACCCTCTCTGTTCTTGTTATTTTAAATTATCTACTTCCCCTGCGCTGCCCTCATATATTTTTTTTACTCTTTCAGCCTGTTTTTTTTCCCCAGCTCTACCTAGTTTTAAGTGAAACGCATTAATAAAACAAAAGTCACATTCATCCTTTCACATTTGTACAGTATCTTGCACATCTCTTTTGTAAAAGTTTTTTTAACTAATATTTTAAACTGAATCACTATGAGATACAGTTACAAAGCTGTTCATGGTTGGGTTTCAGTCATACAATGTTCCAACACCCATCCCTCCTCCAGTATACATTCCCCACCATCAGTGTCCCCAGTTATCATCCTGCCACCCTCACCCACACCAGCCTGCCTCTATGGCAGACAGTTTTCCTCTGTCTCTCCCTGTCTCTGTCTCTGTCTCTCTGACTCTCTCTGTCTCTGTCTCTGTCTCTCTCCTTTCGGGCATTATGGTTTGCAGTACAGGTACTGAGAAGTTATCATATATAAAGTTTTTTTAAAGGGATTTTTCCTGGAGGTCTTAGGGCGGGGTCACTTGAATTTCAGTTCTAATGATTTAGACCTGGTGGCACCGGCTATACTGGGTGGTGCTGGGGTGGGGGGGGGGGGCGTTGGGGGAAGGAACTGATTCCAGGGCTTCACACATGCCAGGCACATGCTACACTGCTTGAATTCTCTCTCTGATCCTATAGTTCTTTTGTGTGTGCAAAGATTATTCTTTGTTCTTTCTCTCGTGTCCTTATTTAACTCGAAAGAGCTTGAGTATAAGGACCTTGTCTACCTTGTTCCTTGTATGTTCAGGAACAAACTCAATGTTTACTGTCTAACCTGTTTTTCATATACCTTGATTTAACTAGTACAGTATGGGACTGTCTGAGTTTCAGCCTATGTCATAAATATTAATCGTACTCCCATTAATAATACTCTTTCTGGGAGGGTTGCTTCCCAAATGATGCTCAGGGACCCGTGGCATATGGGGCCGGGATTCAAAGCAAGGGTGCGAGAATGTAATGCTGTGGGGCTCTCCCTTGCCCTGGGCCAGGCTGGCAGAGGTCAGCAGCATGCAAGGCATCACACCTGGCATTAATGGTTGATTCATCACCTGTGGTGAATGGTTGTGTACTGAGGATTGATTGACTCCGGTTGGGTGAATGTCTGGCATGTATCCTAACTGCTGTACTATTTCTCGGTCCCCTTATTCTTAAATTTATGCAAGCTTGGACAGAAAGTTTATTATATTACACATAGTGAATGCTCAATAAGTACTTTTTGAGTGACTCAATTGAGTAGAATCTAAATAATTATTGCTCTGGATTACACAGAATTTTTTCAGTTCTTTGCTCAAGAAAAAGAAGAAAGACAAAACATGGGGATTTATCGGCAGAAACAACATCAGGGTATTTTCCCTTTTTTTTGAAGTAAAACAGATTTTATTTGGATGATTTTGGAGGGGAGAGAGAGAGAGAGACAGAG